TCTCTCTCTCTCTCTCTCTCTCTCTCTCTCTCTCTCTCTCTCTCTCACACGTGTGTGTAAATTTTTAATAAATATCTTTATATTTTTCTATTTGTATAGCATAAATGGAATATAAAGGGTGAAGAGATAGTCTTATTAATTGAAGGTTTGGAAGAAAATAATTGCGTTCTAGAACTTGAATGGAAGTGTCCTGGCAGACGAGGGCCTTCTCCTGTTCCTTCAAACAATCTACAACAGGAGCTGGAGTCTCCAGAATATAAGTGAGTTTTCAGCAACAGTTTTTAATTATTTTAAATAACAAGAATATAAGGACTAATGAGAGTATATTCGCTGTTATTGGTGCGATTATATATAAGATATATTATAGTGTGAATTTTATATACCACGTACATAGTCACCTCAAACGCGTGCTGAAAATCTTTCAGACTTATAACGCAACTCTAATTAACTACCGTAGTAATATCACAATTTTTGATGCTTATAGCATCTTATTGGATCTTAAGATCTGTTTATATATAACTTCTTTCTAATATCTCTCCCAGGCGTCTAACGTAGGCTCCCACTACATTACCTTACTGATAAGTCTAGTAGTGGAAAGCCGGGACAAAACGTCAACTTGTGATGTTCTTCGCAATCTTATTTTTCACAGATTTCGATTTATTATTACTTTAACGTTTACATCGTTAAATTTTAATATGTCTTTTAACATATTATTAAGAACCAATAAGATACTATAAGAATAAAAAATTGTGATATTACTACGGTAGTTGATTAGAGTTGCGTTGTAAGTCTGAAGGATTTTCAGCACGCGTTTGAGGTGACTACATATACGTGGTATATAAAATTCACACTATATCTTATTATAATTGTACCAAAAATAGCGAATATACTCTCATTAGCCCTTATATTCTTGTTATTTGAAATTTTCAAGAGTCTACTTTAATTGGTTTAATTATTTTAATAATTAAAAATTATTAAAATATAAAGGCATTATTTTCTATTGGTTGTATTCTCACAAGGTTCTATGAAATTTAATATATAATACTGTTTAATTATTTTAATTTTATTTTTATATTGATATCTTTATATAGAACTGAAGAAAAGTCTGACTTTGATTTTATGGATGAGATGTCATTACCGAGATTACCTGTTCGAAGGATTGGCGAAAGTACTCCAAAAGGTAGTGCCAAGAAAAAAATTGCCAGCTTTAATGGAGTAATCTCTACAATGTTAAGACATCGTAGACTGGAGCAACAAGAAATAAATTTAAGTCCAAAAAAAAGTGAATCTTCTATATTAAAGACGCCTACTTAAAAATAAAATATTTCAATTTTTTATAATTTATATATACAGTTAATACACACGCACACACTCACACGTGCACGCACGTTATATATAACTCAGTAAATGTACACACTTACCACACGTAAATATATGCATTGACTAGTAAGTACATGAAGTTAATACTTTCACTGTGACACATACACATGAAATAATAGAGAATTATGCAGTGTATAAGATGATAATGTAAGATAATATATAAAGCATATGAAATTCTACATAAGCTATTACTTTCTACTATACTTATTATAACTTCTAATATTCGTAAATCAATGATTGTGAAATGTAATTGTCATTTCTCGCTGAATTCTTAGATTTTAGGTTGTATATCTTTAAGCGGGGAGCACAGACTTTTGCATAACGCATAAAGCATGTGCATAAGGAATTTCATTGGTCCATTTTCTTATGCATGAGTCAATGGACCAATCAAATTCTTTATGTATGTGGTTTATGCGTTATGCAAAAGTCTGTGCTCCCCGCTTTAGACATTGCTGGATCTATCTACAATGAATGACAGCGCCGAGATGCTTTGCTTTACTTAGGGCCACTGTCACCAAGCTTCGATTAAGGCTGTCTTCCCATAGTCCCTTTGCCAGTCAGTAAAATAATATTACTAGGATGACGTCATCCTACTGACTGGAGAAGTCATAGGGTGCGTTCCGAGTCGCGCATGAAGCGCGTGGACTGCAATACTGATGCACAACACTTTGAAATTGTTCCGTTTTTTCAATGCGCGCATAACACGCATGAAGCGCTTATGAATTCGGACCGGTTTCCTGTGCGAGCTATGCGAGTTCAAGATGGACGCTATACAAGACGTCAATAAACAATTTCTAATAATTGTAATTTCTTCTTTAATACTTTTAAAGAAAAATGATGAAAGTTCCGATGACAGTTCCGACTCGAGCGATAGTGAAAAT